GAGATAGTGAATTTCCTCCTTGGAGTGAAAGGAGAAGAGTGGACTTGGAGGATTACACCACCTCTGAACCACTATACATTGCCTCTCTCATTTACTTACTGATTTTATTTATTATTGCATGCATACTAACCTATTTACTATTCGTCTTATTCATTTATCTTATTGATTGGGTTATGTGACTTTACAAGTGCATGCAGACACAATTCCTTTTGGATTCATTCATTGATTCACACGTGATATCACACACATATTGAGTGAACCATCTCTTTAAATATTTTATAGTCTTGCATGTTGAATATTTGACTGACCCATCTTATATTGTGCGAAAATATTCATCTGGGTCTAGTAGTTTTCACGTATGCATGTGGACATAAATTTTCATACTTATTATTTGAGCCATACCAAGCATATCTATAATATTGCATGTGATATATCTCTTTGATTTTACGTAACACTTGGTTGATTAATTATTCCGCTGCGTATCTAAGTTTCATATCTTGTTACTTAGAGTTGAAGTTACCAAAGTGTTATTAATTGTGAAAAAGTTTAAAATGTCTATTCACCCCCCCCCCCCCCCCTCTAGACTTTTTACCACCCTATCGGGACCAACAGTTTTGAATGAAGGTGGTCATCCCTTCAAGAGCCTTAGTGATGCTCGCAAGCTCGTCCTCTATAGATGTCGTGCTTGTTGTCATAGTTGGCATAATGGTATAGATGCGTGACTATTCTACTACGGCCTTCTACATGTTAGACTTCGGAGATGTTGGTGACGAGCCTCCAGTGTTAGCGTTTCCGTTTGGGGATGTTGGACTCGTTCTATCAGCTACTCCTTTCAAAGATGTTGGACTCTCGCTAGTCATTGCTCCTTTCGAGGATATCGAACTCCTGCTAACAACAGCTTCTTTCGAGGATGTCGAACTCCTACTATCAACAACTCCTTCCAAAGATGTTGGGCTCTCACTATCTGTTGCTCTTTCTTTCGAAGAAGTCGGACCCGCAACATAGGTAGCCTTCCTCCGAACGGTAGGGGCCGTTTCGAGCCTTTGAATCACGCGTCAAACGATTGACTCAGGTTCAGGCGAACGCATTCCTAAGCTCTTTGCGCGGCTCCTGGTTAATGGTCCTTGGGTCTCTCAACTAGCTTCGTAACCCGCTATTGATGAAGACTTAGAACTAGCGGCTTGGGCATATGACTTCTTGAACATCAAGCTTCTTGACCCCATTTAAATTGCTGACAGAGTTTCTTGATAAAGTAGATCGATAGTGAAGAGATGAGAGGTAGAGCGGTCCCACTGGGCGTGCCAAATTCTATGAACAAGAAAAAATTCAAAGAATATATTTATTTAAATTTCAAAAGTCGCGCAGGTACAAAATCTCTAGATGGTCCTCTGATTCTTCACTTGGCTTGCTTGAACACTTGAACGTTTAACTGAAGGGCCTCCAGAATGCGGTTTGTTCTTCAATGAAGGACTGATTTGTTGCTTAAGTCATCGTTGAAGGGCCTATGGTCTTAAATTGGCTTGATCTTTCGTCCATTTTAGCTTAGCATGATTACTTGAATGTTGATCTTCAATCCACTTTAGCTTGACTTGGTCTTCAGTCCAGAGCTTCTTTATGCCTTTTGAGATATTTACTCTAGAGAGATATGTTGTGGACCTTCAAGTGATGCTTGAGAATGAAATGAATGTCACCTCTATTTATAGGGGTAAGAGAATGTGCGACTCCCACTTCATCTCAAACTATTTGATATTATCTCAAAATTAATAAATAAATATTTGAGATAATATAAAGAGTTATCCAAATTGTATTGAGCCGCCATAATGTCTAGGTTCATGATCCCACCCCAACTATAATATCTTAAATAATAATATCTACTTTGACTAAATCTTTATCAAATAATTAAATTAATTAGGCAAATAACATAACCCAAATTAATTTAATTAATTGATGTACAAGTTCAAATAATATGCGGTCAAATATTATTAACCAATTTGAGTCCGTCAACATTTCCAGTCTACACGTATATATACATTTATGACATTCTAGCCGATTATTCATACTTCTTAATAAGATTATGATATTTATATGCCATTATGAATTTTCAATACAACATTAAGAAATTAAGATGACAAACTTCCTAGGTGATGAGAAAGAACATAATGTGATATAAAAACGTAATTTGAAGTTAAAGAGTTAAAGTTATGACATACTTTGAGTTATTTTTTCAATTACATCATTCTTTCTCCTTCTTCTTGAAAACCAATATCCATGATCAATAGATGATGTAGTGAAAGACTGTCATGTAAAAGAATCTCAATCATTAAATGCAAACCAAGCAAATTAAATAAGCCAGTATAAGAGCAATTAATAGAATTCTTTCCATGGAAAGACCAATTTGGTTTAGAAACGGGGCTTGTTTAATATGGAAAATTGTGCTCCAATTTGTATTTCCATTTTTCCACTATTATCATTCTCCACATACAATTCTCCAAATGGAAAATTGGGTTAGCCTCTAATATATGCTAAAAGTCAAGGCTTGCTTCTAACCCAAACTAGGGCCCTGGTAAAAAATTAGCCTATAGGCCAATTTTAGCTTATTTGACCACTATTAATTGTTTGATTTAGTTAAAATATCAATATAAATGTTTGGTTAATTAGCTTTTTGCAACTCCAAAAGGCTAAAATTCAAAAAGCTACTCCTAGCAACTTTTTCAATTAGCTTTTTGAGAAAAGAAATTATACCAAACAGCTATCAGCTAACAGCTAATTTACCAAACACTTTTCTACAATCAGCTAATGTTATCAACTATTTATACCCTCTAATTAACACAATCAGCTAATAGCAAACAGCTATCAGCTAACAGCCATTTTACCAAACAGGGCATATATCTTCTCTCAACTTTTTGATCACTCTATCTATGATAGACGGAGGCTGGGGGAGGCACTTAACGGAGAGGAGAGTCATGTTTTTTAAGCTCCGGGGGACCACACTGCAAAAGCAACTGGAGATGAGGTGAAAGAGGGCGAGATTAGAGAAGATGCCAAATTGAGATGGTGGAACGGTTTTAATAGTCAAGGATTTAATTCGTCCAAATTAAAAGACGAGGACTAAATTTAAAAAATCACTATAGTTATAGGACCATTGCTGGAATTAACTCATATATCTATGATTTAGCTATAATGTGATCCATCATTGGTCACTCTACGGGGTATTTAACTATGTAACAATTGAGGATATGCATGGCGCGGAATCAAGGGGTGACAACTGACCTGTCACTCTAATTTATCAACTTTTTTTTTTTTTTTTTTTACCTTGCATTGAAAAGCTCTCCCACTCCATAGTCTGTCTCTTGGACATAGTATTACGCCACCTGTCTCTTCATTTCTTTATCCTTAATGCTAATTGGTGCAAGATCAAGATCAGATTTCGATCACCATTTTTTTTAATGAATTCCTTTATTTATATCATTATATTAAAGAATTAAAAAATAAGACGGAAAATGTTATATGTATTCTTAACTTATAATTTCATTCACAAAATTTCGGTGTAAACATTTATATTGGAATTTACATAAAAAAAAAAGTAATTTATTATAAAATTAAAAAAGGAAAAATAGCACTTTTTTCTTCCTGAGTTATATACTTATAGCACTTTTTCCCTGAATTATTAAGTGGTTGTTTTTCTCACTGAAATGTTAAATGGACATATTTACCCTTAAAACAAATATTTCATTTATTTTTCTTCTTCGACAAATTATAACCACGATTTGGTTCAAACCGAACAAACACTATAGCAACCAAACTGAAATATTCCAATTACAATTTAGAATCGAAACCTGATATTTAGAGTTTATTAAAATCGCGAACCAGAACAGCCGGTTTAAGTTTCAAACTAAAACAAATAAAATACATTTATTATTGAATTTAAACTATTTTAAAATAAAGACGGTTCAAAATTGCGAATCAGATCCGGAACCGCCGATTCACAGTTCAAGATTCAGTTTTTTCGATTCATAATTTTAATAAACAGAAATTCAAATATTGGGTTCTGGATCTGAGTTATAACCCGGAAATTTTCAATTCGATTGATATAGTGTCTGGTTCAGTTCGAACCAAACCGTGATCATCCCTACATATAAGCAATAATTTGTTGGAGAAAAATAAATAAATAAAATGTTTACTTTAGGAGTATAAATGTCAATTTAATATATGGGAGAAAACTCATCACTTTTAGAGTAATTGAGGAGATTAATGTGCTTACTTGAATAAGAATTATACTACATGAACTCCCAAATTCTACTCCCTCATTTGTACTCCATGAGGTGACAAACTAGGATTAGTTATTTTTAACATGTAGGTCCACAAAAAAATGTCTACATCAAAAACATGTGAGAGAGAGTATAAAATAAGAATATACCAAGTATTTTCCCTTGAATAATTCAAAGAAAAAAATACTATAAATATATAATTCAGGAAAAAAACGTTATTTTCCGATTAAAAAATATAAAACTCTGGTAAGACTGTTTCTTGATTGCTTCTTGACTCGTCAAATGTTTTCGAAAAAGGACACAAGATGTCAGGATGAACCGACTCTTGTAATTAATGGATTTACTGTCGTTAAACTGGCTCCACTCACCACCGCTTTCAAGTTTCAACTTTCAACCCCACACCGCACAATTATTATAACATGAACCAGATTTCATATTTTATTGTAAATCTTAATAAAAATAATTTTGTGTCATCAGTTAATATATTTTATACCTACAATTGATTGTTTTTATATATACAAATAAATAATTTAATAATTATAACATATCATATGATAATTACAGGTACAAAAATAATTAATTATAAGTACAGAATATGTCAATTAAAGATACAGTATCTAACTTAATAATTATTAATATATAATAAGATAATTAATTTTAAATACAAAATATGTCAAACTATAAATCGCAAGGTAGACAATAGTCATGTACTCCGTATAATTTGCCTCACCGCAATGCCCCACTCCTACTCTCCACTAATTATCAGCCACCAGTCCATAAACATTTTGCAAACCATTTCTTCACCTCTGTTTCTGGAATCCTCACCATAACTACGGACTGTATTCTTGGGTTTTTCTTTCTTCTTCATTTTTCTTTTGTTTTTTTACCTGAATCCATTTGAAATTTGGGCTTAGAGGTGTGAGTGATGAAGGCCTTAACCGGGTCATCATCTCTGAAGGTGGGGTGTTTGGAGAAGGAAAGATGGAAACTTTTTGGGTCTCAAAAGCCGGAAATTTGCTTTCTTGGACTGCCCGGTGGAAGGCGTAGTGGTAAATTTAGCTGCTTTTCATCGTTTGAACGCAAAAACATTCGTCCCATTTTTGCTGCTTCTTCTGATCTCTCATCATCAGCTTTAAACTCTCAGGTACACAGTGTTATGTGTTTTCTGGTTTCATGTTCTTGAGTTTTCCTTGTATTTCTTGTTCTATTATGCTTCTCAATAAGTAAGCATATATATTAACTGGAGATTATTTCAACTCGAACCCGTTGATTTGAGAATTTACAGTTGATTTGAGACTTTACAGAAAAAAGGAAAAAGTTATTCTGCAACTTTTCACAGAAATCAAAAGCATAATGGGGTCTAATGATTGATCTTTTTTATTGTGGAAGTATGTGAACCAAAAAAGGACATTTTGAATGATACTGAACCCCATTGTTGTTGACATGCTGATAAATGTAAAGAAACTAGTTTTGTATTGGCATATGGAAACTAGGTTATACTGACATGAGTTTGTAATTGTGATTAATGCAGACAGAGTTTCAATGTGAAGAAATGGAGTCCACCTCCACAGGTACACTCACTTGTTAACTCTACTACATTTCTACCCACATAAATATGTGTCCCTCTGAATTTTGTTGTCTTAGGTTGTGTTTGGTTCAAACATAGGAATCAGAATCGGAATAGGAATCAAGTACTTGGTAATTGGAATGGGTTTTACTGAAAGTATTTTGCGTGTTTGGTAGTAAGGTGGAATTGGAATGATTACCAATATTGATGTTATGTATGACCTTATAATCAGAATAAAGGTTTTAAAAATACAAAAAGCAAAAAATGAAGGCAATTGATCTTAAGAGTGGTGATGAAGTGAGTAGGCAATGCAGTGAGGAAGCCGATGAAGTGAGAAGAGATGAGTGAGGAGGCGACAAAATGAGGAGGGATAAGACTGTATTAATGGCTAAGGTTGAAAAAATCGCTAGGCACCAATACAGTCTAAGGTTGAAAAAATCGCTAGGCGCCAATACAGTCTAAGGTTGAAAAAATCGCTAGGAGCCTGGGGACCGCCTAGGGCGCCTAGAGCGATTAATCGGCGCCTAGTGTGCCTAGGCGGGTGCCTAGGTGGCCGACCGCCTAGCGTTTAGGCGCGATTTTTGCAACATTGATTAATGGAATGATACCTGATTTTGACAAACAATGTGTATGACTTTCATTCCGTCTAACCCCATGAACCAAACACACTATTTTTCTTCAGATGATTTCAAAACTGCCCGCGTAAAATTTCAATTACAAAGACAGTGCTCGTTTGGGCAGCACTTTTGGATAGTTGGTGACGATCCCATATTGGGTTCATGGGATCCATCAAATGCAGTGCCGCTCACCTGGTCAGACGGACATGTTTGGACTGTTGAGATGGTGAGAAGATTTTAATGGTTCCTATATTAAGGTAGAATTTTATTTATATGAAAAATCTTCTGGACTATAGTATGGTTGTTTCTTTCTGGCTATTTCAGGATTTTCCGTGTGGGAAATCTATCAACTACAAGTTCATACTGAAAGGAGCTGGTAGTGCTATCTTGTGGCAACCTGGCCCTGATAGGGTTCTTGATGTATGGGAAACAAGCAACACGGTAACAGTTTGTGAAGATTGGGATAATATTGAACTTCGGAAGATTATGGAGGAGGAACTCTTAGCTGGAGAACGAGGAGAATCTCCAACTAATACAGAAGTGCAGCTGATAGCTGAGAATTCGACTCGGGAAAGGATAGACACAGATGCTAATGCAAATGAACCTGTTCAGATAGTTGCGGAAAATATAACTGGTGCTGATGAGGATGTTAATGCTAGTAATGCATCTGGTTCGATTTTGAACGATGCCACTTATATAGAAGAGACGGTGACAACAGGACCGACTGATTTTGGCAAAAGTGGGAATTTAAGTTCGAAAGGTGAAGCATGTTTAGATTTTGATGAAGGGCTCCCTATTTTGGTTCCTGGCTTGCATCAAGTTTTATCGGTGGAGACTGAAGCAATGCCATCGAACGAAATTCAGGTGGAAATTGTTGCTGAAAATTCGCTTGGCTCCAGTGAAACTGAGGAGTTCAAGTTGCAAGAAGAGCGCTTAGAGGTAACTGATAATATTTGAAAAAAGAGTTCCCTTTCCTATTGCCATAACCATTTAGTTTCACTTTTTCTTTTAAAAAAGCCATTGTTGATTAATTCAAGCACAAAACTACTCCGATACTTGAACAAAGCGTGTAACAGTTATCTATTATTATTATTACAGATTCAGTGAAATGATATTGCTATTCCTTCCATTTCTTATATTGTCTTGTGGCGTTGATGATGTACATGTACTCCAGTTGGATTCGAAGGAAGATTTTAAAATGGACTCTGCAAATGACGAAGAAACCTCAGAAATGAAGACTACCAACATCAGTGGAATTGTACACCAGTTGGACTCAACGGAAGATTTCCAAACGGACTCTTCAAATGACGAAGAAACCTCAGAAATGAAGACTACCGACATCAATGGAATTGTACACCAGTTGGACTCAGAGGAAGAGTTTCAGACAGACTCTTCGAATGACAAAGAAACCTCAGAAACGATGTTTACTGACATCAATGGGATTGAGGATTACGGGAATGTACAAGAGCCGGAGTTGGAAGAGTTGCAAGAGTATCAGCGTGATACGCAGCAACTCGAGACTAGAGTGACTCAAACTGACCTTCAATGGGGTAGACGAACAATCAAGAAATTCCTTGCCAATTTCGGGTGGTTGTAAATATCACCCAGATAAACAAGACTTGCAAAACATCAGTTCTTTGCAACTAGATGAAAGAAGAGCAGCCAGGTAAAGATGTATCAAAGAGAAAACTTGTAGGGCTTACAGCTTTGAGTGAGGTTTGTAATATAGGTAATGGTTTTGTACCTCATTAGAGGGAGGTGTGCAATCACGCAATAAGATTATCTTTGTACCATAAAACCACTAGTGTTTGGCACTAGATAAATTGCCTCGGAAATCCAGAACCTTTGCTCTGTAAAGGATGGTTGCTTTTCTCTTCCCAAAAGGTTAATTCCTAAACCGAGTGTTCTCAACAATCCAACCCGACCGATATGTGTGGGAGGAGGCATATCACATCACAGTAATTGAATAGCTCAACATAGTCAAGCACCTTGTGCTTAGATGGCACATCGGTGGCTCCCCTTGAGGGAAGGTCACAGGATCAAACCCCGATGGTGGGGTATTGACTCTTGGGGCTGCAATAGTTCTACCTTGTAATAGAGAATAGCTAAACATACAAAGTCAAATATTGGTACACAAAAGAGATTTACTTATTCCGATATAATCAGTGTCAAATTTTAAACATTGATATCTTCTCTCAAAAACTACTTACTGAACCAGTAAACGAACCAAATCTGGAAATCTCCCTGACCTGAGTCCATTGGTCTGGATGATTGTTGCTCAGAATGCTTTATTTGAGAGTACAATTACCAATTGAGTACGTAAATAACCCAAGATTGTAATAATAAGATTGGATTATTCAATCCCCCAAAAAGAGAACAGTATAAAAACCAGTGCAACAATACCTACCCTACATAATTGGTCTAGCTAATTCTATTTACAGCTGCTGCAGGTACACGCCTGCCTATAATAATGTTGCAAACTGAAATATCTAGATAAATAATAAAGGTACAAAAGGGGGCAAAAAAAACCAGCCCATCTTAAATTAAGTATTACTGCCTCAGCAGGGTGACATATCGAGAAGAAAATATATCAAATTTGAGCTCAACCATCCCTACCCACCCCCCCTTGTTGAGCCACCCTATGTACTATATTCAAAGGATTCCAAGTTTTTGGCAAGGATGATAAAGCGTTCTGGACATGGCAGCAACAGCACCTCTTTCAGAAGTTTACAAGAGACTGCAATCTCAGAAGAGGATTAAACCTCCAGTTGTCTACTGGTATTCGGGCGAGTTGGCAACTACAAACTATTTGAAAAAAAAAAAAAAAAAAAAAAAAAAAAAAAAAAAAAAGAAGCTGACCACCATGTATTAACATCAGGTTTTTGAAGAGGATCCTTTAAGTGTCACTGCAATGGCCTGTAGTAAATTTTCAATTTGTTAAAAAGGCGAACAATAAGTTAACTCCCCCCTCGAAAAGAAGAGGTGAGTGGTTGGAATAGGATTAATGATCAAATGAGAACCACCCCTTAAGTGAGAACCAACATTAATGGACACAATCTACTCCAGGAATAGATTGTGTATTGTGTGCCTGAAATATTAGATTGTGTGCATTCATGTAGTAGCAGTTTGAACGTTCTCACCTAAGGGGTGGTTCTCACTTGAACACAAACCGTTATAGGAAATGATAACTTGGATGAGGGGTATATTTTAAGAAATGATTGTAGGGCTTACCTCAAAATATGAAGTATATAGCAAGATTAGCAGCAATTAATATGAATGCCAGTTCACTCCACATTCCCTCACAGGCCCTTTTTTCCCGTCAAAAAATGGTGCAATGGAATTCCAGAAACCAGTGGTCTTTCTGTGATCATTACTCATCTTGAAACATGCATCCACACACCCGTCATCCACTCATCCAAAGATCACCAATGTGGACAACCAGAAATACATTTCAATCATGAGCAGCTTCATCACAAACCCCAACCTCAGAGGCATTATCTTTCGACAAAGTACCCTCCACTGGCTTTTCATCTCCAGGACTGAGTGGGTCCCATAAAAATCCATTTTCATTTCCTGATGAAATCTTATCAAAATCTTTATCCACTGCTCCATTCTGAGATTCAACATATGAGACGTATTTCTCTGTAGTTTAAGGTGAAGTATTAACTAAGAGACTAATTAATGATTAATAATAAGAGCAATGGAAGAAAGAAATAAATCTGTGAACCATTTCACCATTTCCAGAAAATGGGAGACAGCATCACAGCAAGGAATTCAAGAATGTTGATGCTATTAAGTGGTGTCAGGAGAAAGATGAAACAAGTATTCACAATGCACAAAAAGCATCATGTCGTAGATGTCATTTTTGTGTGCATGTGTTTTAACTTATATCGTTCCTTACCACTGTAAAAAGTAACATACATAGTTGCTTATAAACAAACTCTCGTTCGACCGTTCAACATATGGCAGAACTGCAGAACTATACAGAAACTACTTATGACAGGAACAGTGACGAAAACAGAAAGGGAACTTACGAGCCAAGTTATGAAGAGCATTCTCGGCTGCCTGCTGCTGAGCATCCTTCCTCGTTCTACCCATACCAACACCAATTCTCTCACCAGTAAAGAATACCTAAAACAACATTAGTTAAAGATCTTTTGTAAACATAGAAATTACCTTTGCAGCTCCAATTGGAAATAGAAAGGTAACTGTTTCGTCATCAACCAACTTCTAGAAACAAAAGAACAATATTTTTTTAGGCACATCTGATCAACTGTACTTATACAGGTTTTTAGGCACATTCTAGGGTAAGGAGGTTAAACTCCTAAACTTGAGGTAAGGACTCCCCTTCAAGTCGCTAAGTAAAATAACAGAATTCAAGGAAAGACAAGAGAGTGAAAGCAGATCTCTGTACTTGGATCAGTTGAGTTGCACTTCAATTTGATGCCAAGTAGTAAACAGGTTTAAGGGTAATATACTTGGATCAGAGTTTGATAACACATTTCAAGTGATTATCTTTCTTGTTATCTAAATAGTAAGTTTTTGTCTTAAGTAGGAATGACAGCGAATATAAATGCGTTCAGGCTCTACTCAGTCACCCATTGCAATACATCGATATCCTTCTCAGGCTTATCTAAGTCAATCCAACAGAAGGCTATGAATAGTGAACAATGCAAAGATTGATTTACAAGCTTAGACTATTCTAGATTCAACATCAATTAAGTCAGTCACAATAATAGAGCAATAACAATAACAGTGCACTAACCTCGACAGAGAACTGCAGTTCATCACTGGTACTGACAACAGGCCTAAACTCAACCTACGTCACAAGATAACCCCATTATAATTAATACTAAAGGAAAAATAATAATCTCTGAATCTTCTAAAAACAGAAATCTTTCTTTGCACAGATGTGTATGGTATTACTTTTGAGCTGCATCTCCTTCCAATTTCTTGCAGCACTCCAATGGCTAAAGATGGCGAGTAGTTTGTTTTCCCTGCTTCTGGTTGTGGCTCTCTTTTAATGGTGGATGTATGGTTCGCAGAAATGCCACTCTCTAATCAAAGAAGAATTGACCACCATTTAGAAGGGGAAAATACAAGAAAATATGAAGAAAGAACTAAAACGATAATCATTTAAAGGTATGAAAATTTCCAAGTACTAGTGAGTTGATTGGGAAGATTCTGCTCACGTATTTCAAGCTTTGAATTTGCCTGCATATACATAGACCCATACTCAGAAAGAATTGTTGCAAGAAATGATACTCCATATTAACAACTGTTCATGGAAAACAATATATCTACCTCTTCACTCTTCAATGCAGATAAATGTGATGGCAAAGTCTGACGACTTCGTTGTTTATCAGGTCTAAATGCATCATTATCCTGTATAATTCCTGGTGCTCGATTACCAAAATGTCCACTGTTTGTTTCGCAATCCACAGACAAGGGGCCCTGCAGTTGAAAGGGAAGTCCTGGTATTTTCTGAGGCAGTCTAGATATAAGAGGAGGCTCTGCTGAACCCCGAAACCTGACATCCTGGCTATGGTTCAATATGGGCAACCTTCTCCTCCCATCAGGATCTGCTTCAGAAAAGCTATTATCCCGTCCGTGTGGAACTCCAAGCAAACTAGGTTCTGTTTAGGAAATTAAGAAAATAAACAAATGTTAGGAAGCAAAAATATTTGTCATGTCTTTCAAATGAAGATGAAATATGTCCAGTGACATTAGTATGCATACTTTCTGAAGGTAGAACTCCTCTGACAGAAGATGTGGTGAATGTATTTGGAGGAGATCCTAGTAGAGACTGTGAGTTCTCAGATTTGAGTTCTGGATTACTAGGCACAGAAGGTGTAACATGATTGATATTATTCTTCACATCCTAGATAAAACAAAGACATAATCAAAAAAAAAAAATCAGGGTTACAAGCAAACAACTTGAAAGAAGTAAGTCCAACATGATGGCCATGTTTCTAAAAACCAGAATGAAGTAATGCCTGCTGATTCAATCTCTGTGCAACTTCAGGGCCATGCATTCCTTCATGGATTGGGGCATTAGAATTTCCATTAGACACAAAACTAGTGTCCTGTAAGGTATTAAGAGCATCCAATTATCATATTTAACCTTCAATCACCATGAAAGTTAAAATGTTTAATGAATAAATACCTCAGATATCAAGTAATTGCTCACATCAGGTGCACAGGGCAGTTTTGCCACGTCATCTTCGTAGAATACTTCAGAGATGTGTCGTAACAATTCCTCATCAAACTCTCTGATTCATAAAGCAAAAAGATATTTATTAGGTACATGTGTGCAACACTGAGATGAATAGTATGTGACCCCAAACCAAAAGAGGATAGAGTTCTAATTTATAGGCCAAGACAAACATTAACCAAAAAGGCACATCGGAGTGACAAGGCTAGGCTTTACTTTAAAGCAAAAGTACAAAGTGAAGCATTGCGTTTTCAAACAAGGCCCACACTTTTTTCAAAAAATAACAATTACTTAATTAGTGATACAAAATGACATAAAACATTTTAATGATTAATAATTAACTACAATTATTATTATTATTATTATTATTATTATTATTATTATTAAATAATAAAAATTTATTCAAGAATCAAAATTTCAAGACTTCAAGTTATTAATTTGTTATATAATTTAAACTAAGTCACTAAAGTAGCCAAATTTATTCAATATACATTAACTCACAACTCCGAACAGCTTGCCTTTATAAAAGGTATTTCTAAAAAAAAATTAAAAAAAATAAAAAATAAAAAAAAAAATCAGAGGAA